TAAGACCTAGTGTATTGTTGCTATGGGATGTACCACGTATGACAGAGATCTCTGTCAGTTCCAAATCTTGGAACTAGTGTTATTGTTTAATGGCCATCAATTGATTGTTTGGCCTTTTAAAACCTAGTGTATTGTTGCTATGAGATGTACCACGTATGACCTATAAGAATAAGATTGATTGAATCGATTGAATTGAACGATTAAGTGACAAATGATAGTGATTGAAGTGTTCTAATGCTAATCGATTGTTTCAAAGACTGTAAAGGACATCATTCTTAACCTCTTTATACATTTGTTATTCACTGGGTTTTAGCTCATAGTTTATTATATATATGTAGGTAGCCAGGCACCGGATAAAAGCTAGAGGCGTCGACCCAAACCCTTGTTTTGTCAAGCCAGCTATTGTCCCTCATTGCGAGGTTTCGAACTAGCATGTGTCAAGATGTTTTTGGGTGGCTCGACTTCACCCTTTTGAGTTTGTTAAGTGAAAAGAACGTTTTAAGACTAATGTCAATACTATTCCAGATGATGGGATTGATTCCCTAGCTTATGTTTTGTTTTGTATATATATGCTTATGGTCATAAATGGTTATGTATATGGCTATGTACATGAAAGTTTATCTCCATTCAGGTCCTCACAGCTCATTGGATGATGTATGTTGTTATTGATTGGCTTCCGCCAGCCCCATTATATTGTATTATTGCCAGTATTGTTAAACAGGCCTTCGGTAATCACGGATTACTGGCCAGTTATGACGCTAAACCTATAGGGCCGGGTTTGGGTCGTGACAGAGTAGTATCAGAGTACGAGTTAATATCTCCCAGACGTGTCTATTGAGCATAAGAATTTTTAGAACGGATTTAGGTTGCATGCATCTAATAAGTAAGTGATAAATTGTGCATTTGAGAATATATATATATATATATATATGTTTGTGTTAAGTATTAAAACCAAGAATTAAGAGTTGTAGGGGATTTGATGCTTATAAGAGGACCGGAATGTGATTGTTTAATAAGCGTGGTATTGAAGCTAAGAACCAAGAACTATTGGGGAACTTTTTCACATTATAAGGAAATATTACTGAGCATAAGTATAATGATTTGTGATAATATAGTATTATAGGAATTAAAGGTTATTTTGGAATTTTGATGATTAAAGAAGACTAGGATGTGTGTGTTTAACGAGTTTAGTATTGAAGTTAAGAGTTATTGTATTTTTTTTATGCTATAAGGGAAATGAAATGTTTGATCACAGCATATTGATGAGTACAAGCATATTTGATTCATGTGAACGCGAAACTTCTTATTGCAGTCAGGGGAGGACATCCCCGATTACAAAGACTCTTATTGGAAACAATTATGAGTGTATGAAGAATGAAATTAATGTTTTTATATTAAAGGAATTTTAATGTAAATGGTTTAAAAATGATGAAGTTTTCTTAATTATTTAAGAATTTGTATATTTTTAGACAAGCCATGTTTAATAGATTTATGAGTTTGAATTTGGAGTTTGGCCAAGCTCTTCCTCTTTTTGTTGTCGACCCTTGAAGCCCCTGCCTCAGTGTTTACAGGACCAACGAGAGGGTTGACTCCCTACTGGCCGTCAAAAGCAAAGTACGAAGGTGCTCCAAATCGGGCCATAATGGTGGCCTTCCGTTTTAACTCTTTGTTCTCCGCCTTCAGCGTACAAATCTCTGCTCGCGCATCCTTGTACATGCGCTGGAGCAGAGAGAGTTGGGAGTTCAACTGTTGTATCTCACTTGTTTTATTCTGTAGCCAGTGAGACAAGCTAGTGACCGCAGTCATGGTCTCCGCACATGATTTTAGCGTATAATAGTTGGCCTCAATATCAGATTGGGTGGCCATTATTTGCTCAACGAATGACATAGAAGTTTAATTCATGCTTTAAAATTTGTGGGTTTGAAATTGGGTTTGATATGGAGAAAAATAAATAGGAATAACCGAAGGAAAAATTAGAATCAAATGAAAGAAACAGAAAAACAAACAAGTAACTGAATTAAATCAATTGTAGAGTGTAATTGTAATTGTGTTGTGCTTGACTTTATTTGTTTAGGTCGGACGCCGAACCATTAGTATGTGTACCGAGGAGCCCACTGTGAGTAACAATGTTGTAAAGATATGTTCAATCGTATTTATTTTCAGATTGATAAAATCATATTGCTTTCTGAAATGATACTTTTTATCGATTGAATGATGATCATATTTTGAATTGTATTCGTGGCATCCATAGCGTATTGTGATTGTTATTGTTATTGATATCGTTATTATTACAGAGATCTCTGCCAGTTCCAAATCTTGGAACTAGTGTTATTGTTTAATGGCCATCAATTGATTGTTCGGTTTTTTAAGACCTAGTGTATTGTTACTATGGGATGTACCACGTATGACCTATAAGAATAAGATTGATTGAATCGATTGAATTGAACGATTGATTGACAAATGATAGTGATTGAAGTGTTCTAATGCTAATCGATTGTTTCAAAGACTGTAAATGACATCATTCTTAACCTCTTTATACATTTGTTATTCGCTGGGCTTTAGCTCACAGTTTATTATATATATGTAGGTGGTCAGGCACCGGATCAAAGCTAGAGACGTCGACCCGAACCCTTGTTTTGTCAAGGCAGCTATTGTTCCTCATTGCGAGGTTTCGAACTAGTATGTGTCAAGATGTTTTTGGGTGGCTCGACTTCACCCTTTTGAGTTTGTTAAGTGAAAAGAACGTTTTAAGACTAATGTCAATACTATTCCAGATGAGAGGATTGATTCCCTAACTTATGTTTTGTTTTGTATATATATGCTTATGGTCATAAATGGTTATGTATATGGCTATGTACATGAAAGTTTATCTCCATTCAGGTCCTCACAGCTCATTGGACGATGTATGTTGTTATTGATTGGCTTCTGCCAGCCCCGTTATATTGTATTATTGCCAGTATTGTTAAACAGGCCTTCGGTAATCACGGATTACTGGCCAGTTACGATGCTAAACCTATAGGGGCGGGTTTGGGTCATGATACCAGGTATTGATCTACAGGAACAAATGTGAAATTAGATTAATTCGATCGCAAGATTCTTAAATTAATTTTGATTAAAAAGATAAGATTGATTTTATACCTAAACAACAATTAAATAAAATTGAAGAATTATATTGACAATTAAAATTAGGATTTGAGATATTAATTTTCGGAAAAAATCCTAGGGTAGAGAATTCACCACTAACCACATGAATGAGACTTAACATCAGCCACCAATCGCAATTTGGTTTGAACTACCCAATATTTCACAACTACAAGTTTGAAATATTGATCAAGAGGGTTGTTGCATTTAATGTACAAGCACGAATCATCCCGACTAGTACGAGTCGTTTGCTCTAAACTATGTAAGCAAAACGACCCGTCTCTCATAGCATGACTCGTCTTGTACTGTGAATACAAACACAAAGAATACTAATGTATGGAAAGCATTAAATAATCACAGAGAGTAAAATGCTTAAAGAGATGAACGAAACAATTATTAAAAACTTCTAAATCATCCATACATTCATTCAAACCAATTTACAATTAAAGCTCATGAAAAATTCGAATACATCGCTAGGGTTTCATCAAAACCCTAGAAAAGACGACTAGCCACTCATGGAGGAGTGGAAAGAGGAAGAAGATGAGAAAGAAACCCCCATGGAAGTGTCCTTCAAGCTTTGGTAGAATATCACCTCTTTGGAACCCTAGCCTCCCTCTATTCTGAATTAAATTTTCGAACCCTAGGTTTGGCTAATTTTCTGTCTTTTATTCGGAGCAAAACAGACCAAAAATTTTTTGCACGCATCCCTAGGTGGGCCGCTCATGCACCCATGTGGGCCGCACGAGCGGTGGTTGGCCGCACGTGCGGTGGTGTGGCTGGCTGGGATTCTTCACTTCTTGCTCGGAGAATCTAGTTTCGCACCCTTTTTGATTGAATTTTAATATTTCCTGCCAAATCTGTACAAGTGCACGAAACACATCATCTTCACAAAATAAATAAAATTAAAAGACTAAAAATGTAACTTAAGTGGCCTCAATGTGGTATCTTTCGGCCTACATCGAATTTTCTCAGTGAAAATGTTGAGAGACCTTAGCTAATAAAAAAAAAAAAAAATCTTGGACCTCTCCTATTACATAAAGTTAGAGAATGATGTTTCACTAATTTTCCTTTTTTCTTTTTTTCATGTGCACTTATAATTACAGTGAAAGTAAATGTGCTATTTTCTATTGGTAATTTTGAATAATTTTCCTACACTTTATTATTACTAATGTTTCAGTTTAAATCATGAGGGAATAATATAAGAAACAAGATAAATTGCATTTCATTATTTTGTAATTATTTTTCTCAATTTCTCAATTTTGTACGTAAAATATTATTTTTCTCAATTTTCATGACAGGAGTTGAGATCCAAAATAAAGTCATGTTTGAAAATTTATTATTTTAATAATATTGTAACTTTTTATGAAATGACATAAAAAAAATAGAGATAATAATATAATAATTTTTAATATTTTAACTAAAATAGCTATTGAAAAACGAACCGTAAAATAACATCAAAATACTACTCATTCTTTTTATATGACACATATTAAAATAATATGATGTTTTTATAACTTTAAACTTAAATTATTAGATTACAGCTATGAAATTATTGAAAAGAGATCCTTATCCAACAATATTTATAACCGTAATGCAGAAGTTGACCTGTTCAATATAAGACGTCGGCAAATAGTCAATTAAATCATGTATAAAATCAACGACACGTCTTACAATTATTATATATATATATATAATAAGTAGGGAGTTTGATCTCCACCGTCAGTTCAACCACATTTCAGAATCAAGGGTGTCAAGGCCATTGTGTGACAGCATAATGGAAGAGTCCAAAGTCCAAAGTTGTGGCTAAGACATGAATGGATATTTTCTTAATTGCAAAGCAATCCGTCAATATATAAAGAGCTCTCTCACTCTCTCCTCAACGCTACAAAACCACGAGTGCCCATTCTTTCTATAATAGCCATTTGCAATCTTAATTCCATACACTCATATGTCTTATTCTGCTACTTCGACTTTGACAATGGTGAGTTTTTTTTTTTTTAATCGAGAAAAGTTAATTATTAATTATTAGATTAGTACCTATATGAGTTAGAAAAAATTAATTATTAGTTGTTAAATTAAAAAAATAATCCATTTTACAGTAACACAATGAGATGATGCTGTCTTCTTGACTTCACTTGAAATAATCCATTTTAATGATTTGAAATTATTCAATTTTGTATTGATAAAACTTTTATATGATCTGTGTTGTTTATATTGCAAGTCTGGTGAGCAACAGTCTTTCACACTCAAAATAGAGGTATGTCCTCTTATCATTAACTTTGAAATTACTTTGATTTTTTATTTATTATATATGTATATATATATTTTCAACATCTTTGACAAAGCTACTGATAATAATTTCTGGAACAGAAAGAACATGAACACCGCTCCCAGAGAGTTAAGTCTCTGGATTTCCATCCAACAAAGCCATGGTATGGTTGCTTTTCTTCTTTTTTTTTGTGTTTTATTTTATTTTTTTTATCTTTTCAATTTCATCTTAGTTAATTATGTTGTGTGATACTTTCTCTTGCAGGATTCTAACAAGTTTACATTCAGGAACAATATGTATCTGGAACTACCAATCACAAGTAAGGAACTGTTATTTTTATTAAATGAAATCCTAGCTAGGCAATTTTTTTTTTTTTAAAAAAAAAATTGCGTGTTAGTGTACCTGGTGGTGTAAGTCCGAGTCACAAAATAATCTCTAAAAAATTGGAGTAAGATTACATACATCTTGCCCTCTCCAAATCCTACATTAACAAGAGCATTTTTTTAGATACCTCAAGTTTTTTCTGTTCAACTGTTGTCTTCTACATGTGATCATATTTAGGTATCTGGTCTTCTCTTTCACAATTCTCAAATTTTTTGAACAAATTTAATCTAATTAAAAAAAAAAAAATCACATTCTTAACAAGTAATGCCACCATCAACAGTTGAAAGCACAATGTACATTTTCCAAGAAGCTCCTACTAAAGGAAAATGCACTTTTGGCAATCATGATTATGTATCATTTTTGTAGTCTATTAAGTTTCATTGAATTTTTTAGAGTTTTAAATTATTGGTAAATTTTTTATAATGATTAATTTTCTAACTCATGATTTATTTAATCTATAGGTTATAGAGAAATCTATCAATGTTACAGAATCACCAGGTATGATATACATAGTTTACACATTTTATGTGTCTATTTATTTTTATTTTTTTAAACAAAAAAGTTTATCATAGTGGATGATAGTTGCACTTGTACACGTGCTTGCAGTAAGGTCAGCAAAGTTTGTAGCACGTGAGCAATGGATTGTTGCAGGAGCTGATGATAAGTTTATTCGCGTATACAAATTCAATTCTGATGAAAAGATTAAAGAATTTGAGGCGCACACAGATTATATCAGATCCATAACCGTGCATCCAACACTTCCATATGTGTTGTCAGCATCTGATGACACGCTTATAAAGCTCTGGGACTGGGAGAAGGATTGGGCGTGCGCTCAAGTCTTTGAGGGACATAGCCATTATGTAATGCAAGTAGCATTCAACCCAAGAGACACCAACACCTTTGCGAGTGCATCACTTGATTGCACGGTCAAGGTATTGCCTGGTTAATTATTCTTTTGCTTCTTTGAAAATATAATCGTGCTATTTATACTTTGGTGATGTTTATTTTCATAGATATGGGATCTTGGCACACGTACTCCAACTTTCACTCTCGAGGCGCATTCAAAGGGGGTTAATTGTGTCGATTTCTTTGCAAATAGTGATAAAGCCTATCTAATCAGTGGCTCTGATGATCATGATGTTAAGGTTTGCCATCATAATTCCATTCTTTGTCTTCAGTCTAGAAGAATTGGATTCTTGTTTTCGTTTTGAATTTTTTTTTTTTTTTGGGGGG